TTTGGTTTTCCGTAGCTTTTTCAATAGTTTTCCTTTGCTTTTTGTAGTTCTCCTGAATTCTCTTCAGCTTTTTTTTATTCTTCCTCACCTGTTCCTTAGTTTTCCTTAGATTTTCTTAGTATTCTGTAGCTTTTCCTGCGTTTTGTAAGCTTTTCCTCAGCTTTTCGTTAGTTTTCCTCAGCTTTTCATCAGTTTTCCTCAGCTTTTCCTTAGCTTTTCCTTAGATTTTCTTAGCTTTCCTCAGCTTTTCCTTAGTTTTCCTCAGCTTTTCTTTAGCTTTTCCTTAGATTTTCTTAGCTTTCCTCAGCTTTTCCTTAGTTTTCCTCAGCTTTTCTTTAGTTTTCCTTAGCTTTCCTTGAGTTTTCCTTAACTTTTTCTTTAGTTTTATTTAGATTTCTTTACATTTTCTTTAAGAATCTTTAGCTTTTCAATTGATTTCCTTAGCTTTCCATTAGTTTGCCTGAGCTTGTCGTTACCAATTTCTTTGGTTTTTCAGCTTTTCTTTAGTGTTCCACAGCTCTTCTTTAATGTTCTTCAATTTATTAAAGAATTTCCTATGGCGATTCAGGTAATATTAATCCCCATGATACATTAGTTTTCTTTGTGCCTTCAGCGCCCACCCATTTTTTTTGGCGGGTGCTAAGATAACGCCTCGGTGCGGGGCGCCCGGGATACCCTGGGATGGACTACCCCATACGACGGCCGAAAAAGATCAATTTCTCAAAGGGGTTTCAAATAGAAATCGCAATGAGAAGAGGAGGAGAAGGAGGAGGAGGAGGAGAACACTGAGGTGACCGAAGAGGCCAATTCCTTTTCAGGACTCTACGCCTTTCCTCGGTCGCAATGAACTTTTCCTTAGTCTTCGTTTACTTTTCCTTAGTTTCTTTTCTGTCGCTATCCTTAGCGTTTTCTTACTGTTCTGAGCTTTTCGTTAGTGTTATTTAGCTTTCCATTGCTTTTCCTTAGTTTCCTTACAATTTCTACAGTTTTCCTTACGTTCCTTTTTTTCCTGATCAGGCCCTGCCTTTTTTTTCCGTGGGTGTCGGGTGCTAAGATAACGCCTCGGTGCGGGGCGCCCGGGATACCCTGGGATGGACTACCCCATACGACGGCCGAAAAAAAAACAATTTCTCAAAGGGGTTTGAAATAGAAATCGCAATGAGAAGAAGAGGAGGAGAAGGAGGAGGAGGAGGAGAACACATCCAAGACGGCCCCTGAGGTGACCGAAGAGGCCAATTCCTTTTCAGGACTCTACGCCTTTCCTCGGTCGCACACTTCCTTTTCAGATTACAGCAGAGTTCACGAGATCCTCGAATTCATTCCGGTTCAGTCCAGTGCAGCAGAGACTTCTGAGCTTCTCCGTAGCCATTGTGGTTCAGTTTTCAGGCTCAAGCTTTAGGATTCGATCTGCATCCGCCATCAGCAGCAGACCATTCTTTCGCTCAGAGCCTTCAGCGGGATGGAGTGGAAAAGCTCGATCGACTTGGATGCAGTTGCAGTTGGGCCAGACACAACAGGATGGAGTTCAGACGAGGGGGAGTACGCGAAGTTCCGCTCAGTTCCTCACGGAGAAGACGCTTGGTCAGAGTCAAAGCGTAGGAAGTGGATCAGGGACCGTAAGAAAGAGGCAGCTCAGTGGCACAAAAGGGCAGCTGAGGAGGCTAAGGTCAAGGCCGCCACGCAGGCTCAGGCCAAGGCCGCTAACGCTCTGAGGAAGCGCCCAGCAGCTCAGACGACACCCAGGAAGAGGCCCGCCGCTCAGACGACACCCAGGAAGAGGCCCGCCGCGCAGAAGAGTTCAGGCAGCAGCGGGACGACGAGTGACTCCCACAACGGCAGCTACGATGAGCCGCCCAGGAGTCAGCGCAAGAGTCAGAGGGGAAGGCCTTCCGCTAAGGCTGACGTGTTGAGCCGCCTGTTCTCTTCGGGCAGCGCGCCTTTCAGAGGCCGCCTCTGAGTGAAGTCAGAGTAGTGTCTCTCCTGCGCTCTGTCAGGCCCCCGCACTTTGCTCAGGCCGCACCTCGCCGTCCTTTTCAGAGTTGGCTTTCAGCGTTCCCTTGATCAGCGAGCCCGCCTTCCTTTTCAGAGTTCTGGCTTTCAGCTCTCGCGTCGTCAGCGAGACCGCCAGATTGTCTCACTTGAGACCCAGCGAACGCCCGCGCGTTCAGGCGCCGAGGCCGGGCGTCACAAATTCGAACGCTTCGCGTGATCCCCACCAGCCCTTCCAGAACCCATCAACTTGAACAGGGGAATCAGATGTTCCCAGCTTTTCCGCAGCTTTTCCTACAGTTTTTCTAAGCTTTTCCTTAGATTGTCTGAGCTTTTTCCCTTAGTTTACTTGAGCTTGTCCTGGCTTTTCAATGTTTCTGTTGGTTGTCTTAGCTTATCTTAGCTTTTCGTTAGCTTTTGCGCAGCTTGTCCTTAGTTTCCGTTAGCGTTTCCTTAGTTTCCCTCAGCTTTTCTTTAGTTTTCCTTAGCGTTTTCTTTAGTTTTCCTCAGATTTTCTTTAGTTGTCCTTTATAGCTTTTCTTTAGTTTTCCTTAGTTATCTTCACATTTTCCGTAGTTTCCCTTAGCTTTTCCTTAGTTTTCCTCAGCGGTTTCTTTAGTTTTCCTGAGTTTTTTCTATAGTTTTCTTTGGCTTTTCCTTAGTTTCCCTTAGCTTTTCTTTAGTTTTCTACAGCTTTTCTCTAGTGTTCCTTACCTTTTCTGTAGCTTTCGTTGTTTTTTTTAGCGTTTCCTTAGTTTTTTTCCTTAGCTTTTCTTTGGTTCCCCTTAGCTTTTCCTTAGATTTTTTCTGTTTTCTTTAGCTTTTCTTCGTTTTCTTTAGCTTTTCTTTAGTGTTCTTCAGATGTTCCTTACGTTTTCGTTGGATTTTCCTTAGTTCTTCGCAGCATTTTCTGCGTTTTCTTTAACTTTTCCTGAGTTTCCTTTAGCATTTCGTTCGTTTTCCTTGGTTTTCCTTTCGTTTGCAATAGTTTTCATTCGTTTTCCTAAGCTTTTCCTTTGCTTCTCTTTGCTATTCTTTAGTTATCATTAGCTTTTCCTTTGTTTTCTTTCGCTTTTCCTTAGTTTACCTTAGCTTTGCCTTAGTTCTCCTTAGGTTTTCCTTAGTTGTTAATGCCTTTTTCCAGATTTTCCTTAGCTTTTCTTAGCTTTGGTAAGTATTTCTGGCATTCTATTTTTCATGGAAGCCACAGATACCCTCATTTGCATTCGTCACATGCCTTGCGAGTTTCTCTCTTGGTCCCATAGGAAATCCCACCGATTTTTTTTTTTTTTCGCTTGTGCGGGCGGGTGCTAAGAATATCGCTCGGCGGAAATGCCCCCCCCGGAATATTGAATAAAAACCGGGTGCTAATAATAACGCGGGGGGGTTTCTTAAATGCTTTTTTAGTAGTAGTAGTAGTAGAGTAGTAGTAGTAGTAGTAGTAGTGTGAGTAGTAGTAGTAGTAGTAGTAGTAGTAGTATTTGTTGTAGTAGTAGTAGTAGCAGCAGCAGTAGTAGTAGTAGTAGTAGTAGTGTGAGTAGTAGTAGTAGTAGTAGTAGTAGTAGTAGTATTTGTAGTAGTAGTAGTAGTAGTAGTAGTAGTAGTAGTAGCAGTAGTAGTAGTAGTAGTAGTATTTGTAGTAGTAGTAGTAGTAGCAGTAGTAGTAGTAGTAGTAGTAGCAGTAGTGTGAGTAGTAGTAGTAGTAGTAGTAGTAGAAGTAGTAGTAGTAGTAGTAGTAGTAGTAGTAGTAGTAGTAGTAGTAGTAGTAGTAGTAGTAGTAGTAGTAGTAGTAGTGTGAGTAGTATTAGTAGAAGTAGTAGTGGTAGTAGTAGTAGTAGTATTTGTAGTAGTAGTAGTAGTAATAGTAGTAGTAGTAGTAGCAGCAGTAGTAGTAGTAGTAGTGTGAGTCGTAGTAGTAGTAGTAGTAGTAGTAGTAGTAGTAGTCGTAGTAGTAGTAGTAGTAGTAGTAGTAGTAGTATGTAGTAGTAGTAGTAATAGTAGTAGTAGTAGTAGTAGTAGTAGTGCAGTAGTAGTAGTAGTCGTAGTATTAGTAGTAGTAGTAGTGTGAGTAGTAGTAGTAGTAGTAGTAGTAGTAGTAGTAGTAGTAGTAGTAGTAGTAGTAGTAGTAGTAGTAGTAGTAGTGAGTATAGTAGTAGTAAGTAGTAGTAGTAGTAGTAGTAGTAGTAGTGTAGTAGTAGTAAGTAGTAGTAGTAAGTAGTAGTGTGAGTAGTAGTATAGTGTAGTAGTAGTAGTAGTAGTAGTAGTAGTAGTAGTAGTAGTAGTAGTAGTAGTAGTAGTAGTAGTAGTAGTAGTAGTAGTAGTAGTAGTAGTAGTAGTAGTAGTAGTAGTAGTAGTAGTAGTAGTAGTAGTAGTAGTAGTAGTAGTAGTAGTAGTAGTAGTAGTAGTAGTAGTAGTAGTAGTAGTATTTGTAGTAGTAGTAGTAGTAGTAGTAGTAGTAGTAGGACCGGCAGGCCCCCGCGCCCCCGACAAGAGGACCGGCCCCGCGCGAGCGAGCGAGCGAACACGACGGCGGCAGACGAGCGCCCGGCCCTCGCTGAGACCATCAGCATCACCATCAGCAGCAGCATCACCAGCATCATACCAGCATCATCACCATCATCTTCGTCACCATCATCATCACCGTCATTATCATCCTCATCGTCGTCGTCACAGTCATCCTCATCGTTATCGTCATCGTCATCATATTCCGTTTCACTAGCATAACTATTATCAACGCAGTTGACATCATCACAATCATCAGCATCACCATCATCATAATCACAATCGGGATCAGCATCTGCTTTATAGCCTTCATCACCATCATCAAAGTCATAACCAGCAGCATATGTTCTTCTCCCTTCTTCCCCTGTGCCCTGCTTCCACCCTGATTTGCCATTCTCCTCCCTTTTCCGCCTTCTGCCCCCCCCCGATCCTTCTCCTCCTCCTCCTCCTCCTCCTCCTTCTCCTCCCCCTCCTCCTTCTCCGCCCGCCCGCCCGCCCCGCACCCGGAGGCGAGCGCCAGCCCTCCTGCCAAGGGCAAGCAGCGCAAGCGCAGCCCTAGCAAGGAGCGCCAGAAGCGCAGAAGTCCCAGCAGGTGCGCTCCCTCCCCTCACAGGTCTCATTTCGACTCCTCCGACTCGATTCGATTCCATTTCGGTTCGATTCCGCTTCGATTTCGGATTCCGAAGTGAACTTCGGTTGCTCAGTAGAGGCCTCGCAGGCCTGCCAATCTCCGCCCAGTGCACTTCTCCCGACCCGACTTGCCGATTTCCGCCGATCCGATTCGTGTCGATCACCGATCCGACCTGCCGACTCGACTCTGGGTTCCTCTGCCTCCTCGCGTGCTGTTGAAGGCGTGCCTGGCCCAACCAAGGTCTTCGACGACGTGTGTGTTGCCAATCTCGGCGTCGTTCCTCGACGTGGACCTCCGGGGCACGTGAGCAGGCCCCAGGACCAAGACCGGATCCGGGCCGAGACGCCGGCCCGGGGTCGGGCCCTCTGGAGAGTCGTGTGGGCGGATGTCCGGGCGGGTGTCTCCAGGTGTCGCCTCGTGTTGGATCCCTTGGCATCGCTCGGGCGTGTGCATTTTTCCTTCGGCGAGGACCATCGAGGAACATCTTTGATCATTTCGCGAAAAAAAAAACACGCACGAGACCGCAACAAAAAACACAGGGAATGGACGTCGGAGCGATGGCCAGATCCCCTGCGGCCCTCTGGTCTTCGTGAGGGGTGCCCCGGAAGCCGCAGGGGCCTCCCTGGAGAGAGATCCTGGGGGCGCCCTGGCCCCCGGGAGCTGCTGTGCCGAGCGCGGCCTCCCCCGTCCCCCTGGCCGCTGCGGCCTCCGGTCTGCAGTCAAGCAGGGTCGCAAGGATGCGCCACTGCAGTTGCAGGGGGTCGTCTGGGGATCGCTCCTCCTTCCCCCCCTCCCCCCCTCAGTCAGTATCGTTTATCCGACCCCCATCCCCATCCTCATCCCCTTCGGGACCCCCACCAAATTACCACCCCAGTTGGGAGACACCCCCCGAAACCCGAAGGGGACGGCTTCTATCCCCATCTGGGGGGGTAAATCGGCCAGTGGGGCCCAGGCCACGCCATTGGGGATGGGGATCGGATCAACGATACTCATGATTCAGCCCGCCTCCCCCTCCCTCCTCCTCCCTCCTCCACCTTTGTTTTTTGTTTTTGGGGGGGCAGCATCTGCACGGCCACTGCCAGTTTTGCGAACACCAGCCCAGAGGCGCAGCTGGAGCAGCACTGAACCTCCTTCGCGCACTGGTGCAACTCGCTGGCGTTCAGGCCGAATACCGAAAACCGAGCCCACAAGCCGAGCGACAGCACGATCTCGACGGCAGCCACATTCACTACGCGTGCACGCTGTACTAGGAAGCCCCGATGCCGAGAAAAAAATAATGCCACCGCGGGCGCACGAATCCATAGGCAAGGAAAGCAAACACTCAAGAAAGAAACGATCCAACCAGCACAGACAACTTTACGACGTTAAGCGAAGAGGAGACCCTCGCCAGGGTCTGGCGGCAGCCCTCGCGGCACCCAGGTAGCCCCAGGAACGGGAAGAACCACGGCTTCAACCTCTTGAACTTGATCGTCAGGCAGGGCTCCAGCAACAGCATCATCGGCCAGCGGCCCCTCGCACGCCTCCGAGGGCGGAGCGGGGTCCTCCCGCGCCGCAGGGGAAGGCCCCCTAAACCCTCCCCAGGTGGCGATGGGAGACTGCAGAATTGTAGCTGATGGCGCCTGGAGTTCCCGCTGCTCCTCGAACTGATCTGGCACCCCGGGCGGGGCGGGGGTCGTGGCATGGAGCTCCTCCTGTTTCACGAGCGTTGCCGAGGAATAGTCGATGGCACCGCATGTGAATCCCACAGGCGGGCCGCGTGGAAGTCGCCCTCACCAGCGGCTCCCAAGGCCCCGAACCAGGGATGAAGACATGCTCGTTCGCCTCATCCGTGTCACGGTACACGAAGGACCTACGTGCCCACACCGGGCACGAAGGCGGGAGCCTCCGCGCGAAGCCCACCTGCGAGGGCGTGGCGCCCTGGAGGAGAGCTCCCAGAGAGGGTGCCAAAGCCAGCACGCGGTCGACGAGCACGACGATCTGAAGCAGAAGAAAAAACAGAAGCGCCCACTCTGGGCGCCATCCCGTGCCATCTCAAGCAACCTCCCAGCAGCTGACTCCATGAGCAGAATACATTGAGTCAATAAGTTGGGGGTGAAGCGGCCTGAGCCAAAATGGCTACGACCCTCCTCCACCTCCTGCCTTTTCCCTCGTCCTCCTCCACCTCCTGCCTCGTTCATCCTCCTCCTCCTCTTCCTCTTCCTCCTACTCTCCTCTTCGTCCCTCCTCCTCAGCGTGCAGGCTATATGACATCGACCACTTGTGTATCGTGCACTGACTTTGTGTTGTGTGGTGGCGTTGTGCTGCTCCCCCCCGCCTCCCAGGCGTACCGGGTGCGACAGACGGGCTCCCTGCCCTCGGAGTGTGAGGGGCGCGGCGCATCCTGAGGGTCCACGCGGTGTGAGGGTCCTCGCGCCGTCCCGCGGCCTCCCTTCCCCTCGCCCCGCGCCTGCCCGCGCCCCCTGTGCCTGACTTCGCCACGGTCGCGCCCCGCCGCTTGCTCTGCCGCTTGTGGGCCCCAGCTCGCCGGCGGCCAACGAGTGTGCGGGGCAGGCGCTCCCAGACGGGGTGCGCCGGGCTGGCCCGTGTACCACGCCGGGCAGACCGAGGGCCAGCAGCGCAGCCTGGGACCCAAGATTCTCTCGAGGGCAGGAGCGGGATGCGAGAGCCGAGAGGGGCGCGCCAGGGGAAAGCACCAGGGCCCAGCTGGGGCAAGAGCCGCTGGTCGCAGAAGTCCCAGAACTGCGTCGGAGGAGGGGGGGCGATCAAGGAGGAGATCTCAACTCGAGGTGCACCTGTCTTGGAGGGCCGAATTCTGCCCCCTTCTGGAGGATCAACATGTGGGGCATATGCCCAAAACCGTTTTCATTCTCTGGCCACGAGCGCCTACAGACACATGGGGCGTCGTTACGTCTGTAGAGACATTCTGGGTGGATGCGTCCATGGACAACGCAGCCGTTGCGTTCAGCGCAGTGCAGAGTCGGAGAAGGGGTATCCCGAACTTCTTATTAATCAACCGGGGGGTGACAAACGTGAAAACGCGGCGCGGCCACCACCACCCGGCACCACCCCCGCGCCCCAGCGGGGAAGGGAAGTAACCCCAGACCCCCCCTGGCACCCCCGCGGACGCGCCGCGGCCAACCCCCCCGGGCACTCCAAGGGGGGGGCGATTATTAAGCGATCCAGGGTAGATGCGGCTACGGTCTTTTCCTGTCCTACAGCAGGTCGCACGCGGTGCTCCAACCCCAGTCCCACGGGGGAAGGCGCGCGCGGCCGCGGCGCCGCCAGGCGTGCCGAGCGCAAGCGGAGCCGCAGCCGGCGCCACAGCGGCGCCAGGGGCGCCAGGCGCAGCCGGAGTCGCAGGCGGGGGTCGCATCGAGGATCGAGGATCGAATCTTGAAGATCTCCGATGATATCCCAGGCCTCCTGGATGGGGTCGGGGTATGTCGGAGTAGGTGGGGTCGGAGGATCACGCCGCATCGCCCATGCATCGGCGATGCGGCTCGTTGCGGAGCCCGAATTGCTGCACGCCGACGTCGCCGATGCACTGCGTGCGTCGCCGGTGCATCGCCGATGCGCGACCCCATCTGGGAGGCCTGTGGATTTAACGTTTTCACACAGCGGTTTTCCTCGATTTGGACCTCCTGGTCCCGTTGTCGGGCCCCATGGCTATCAGGAACGGATCTGGGGCGAAACTTTTGCCCTGGGGGAGGGGTCGGGATATTTGGGGCCGTGCAAAGAAACATTCAATCGTCGGATGTTTGGGGGTTGAACCCGTATTTCACGGCATTGTGATCTTCGCCTGCTTGGTCTTCTCCCTTGGGAAAGCAGCCACATTCCCACCACCACCGTCGCAGCCCGTGCCTTTGCAGCGCCTGCTCCCCGGCAGTCGTGATCGAGCCGGCTTGGACTGGCTTGGATGATTGCGAAGGCCTTACGGCCGGTGCCGCCGACCCTGAGAACGACGGAGATGAAAACGAGGGGGGGGCAGGGGGAGGAGGATGAGTGCGAGGTGGAGGAAGGGTGGAGGAGGTGGATGAGGGAGGAGGAGGGGGGATAAGGATGTAGAGGAGAAGCAAGAGGAGGAGAAGGAGGCAGAGGAAAGCAGGAGGAGGGGAGCAGAGGGGGAGGAGGAGGAGGGGAGGAGGAGGAGGAGGAGGAGGAGGAGGAGGAGGAGGAGGAGGAGGAGGAGGAGGAGGAGGAGGAGGAGGAGGAGGAGGGGGAGGGGGAGGAGGAGGAGGAGGAAGAGGAGGAGGCCAGAGGCTTCCTTGGGACAGCCTGGGGCTCTCTGGAGGCCGTCTTGGGCCGTCCAGGGCTCCTCTTGCGCCGTCTCGAGGCACTCTTGGAGGCCTCCTGGGCAATGTGGGGCTGTCTTGGGACAGTTTGGGGGCCCCTTCGGAGCCTCTTGGGGCCTCTTGGGACTTCTTCGGGGCCTCCTGGGGGCCTCTGGGGCTGAGAGCTCGAAATGTCCGTTCGGGTCCTCCGTCTGGGCACTCTCCTGGAGCCGTCTCGGGGGCCTCTTGGGCCGTCTTGGAGGCGTCTTGGGCCGTCTTGGGGCCCTCTTCGGCCGTTAGGGGACCCTCTTGGGGGCCCTTGGGCCGTCTCGGGGCGATCTTGGGGGCCTCTTGGGCCGTCTTGACGCGTCGGGAAGCGGAAGAGGCAAAAACACCAAAACTTGTCAAACACGTAATTATGGGAAATCCATGAACTTTGCCTCTTGGGTCTCTCGTGGGAAAGCTCCTGGAGGCCTCTTAGGGCGCTTTGCAGGCCTCGTGGGCCGTCTGGAGGCCGTCTTGGACAGATCGTTCGGCGATTCGGGATTCTCTTGGACTGTCTTTGGGGCCTCTTGGGGCACTCTTGGCCAGTCTTGGGGCTTTTGGGGGCTCTGGGACTCCCAGGGGGGCGTCGTATCTGACCCCCCCCGGGATCCCCCCCGGGATCCCCCCTGGGACCCCCCCCCCAGCGGGGGAGGGATCGAAGGGAAGGGGCTTTCCTTTGGCTGGCGCGCTGAGGAGGTCCCTGGGAAAGGGGGGAGCTTCGACGAGCCCAGGGAAAGGGGGAGACAGAGAAAGGGGACGACAGAGACGACGACCAAACCAACAAATGACAAAAATGACGACTTGAACGGACAAGCCCCTCACACACGCCGACAGGGTCGGCGGATCCTACAGGCTTGCGCCACAACATCCGCCGACCCTGTAAGTTCCTATGGCGTGCCAGGTTGGGTGCCCTTCCCACACCTCGAGGGAGGCCCCGCCAGACCGCGGCAGGACAGATCTCACACGCCTGAGACCCACAAGGGGTCGGCGGATCAAACCCTTGCGAATTTTGCAAGACAGCGTTGTTTTGCTTGCATCACCATGGCATGACTCCTACCTGGAGTCTGAGGCCGCACCACTCCGCTACCAGGACTACATGTTCTGACGATGCAGCCTTGTTTCCCTCTTTCCGTGACCGCTCCTCTTCCCGCAGGCTCTTTTCTGTGCAATCGTTTGCTCCGACCGACTCGCGCGTCCGCCAGGTCCGAGACAGGTAACGCTTCCATTGTGAATATTGAAGTGGTTGGACGTTGTCACCCTTTCTTGGCCTGCGCGAGGCTCCTCGTAACAACGGCCAAATATCCTTCGAGGTTCTGGCCAGAGCGCATCCGAGATTGTTTGATGCCCAAACTCAGACATCCAACGTCTTGATACACATCAAGGCCGCGTTGTTTCACACTTTGTGGTCTCTGGTGACCCTCGCCGAGCCTTGAGGCCGTCACAGAGTGACTGGGCCCGAAGGAAGCCTTGCAGGCCCCCTGGAGGCAGCATTCTTTGATTTCCCATTGTTTGGTTGTAATATTCTAGTGCGCCCGCCTTTCCTGTCGTCAGAGCGCTCAAGACAGCCCGGAAGGCCCCCGAGATCGCGCGAAGCCGACAAGGGGAGCCCAAGATGTGTCAGCAGGACCCCTAAACGGCTTCGGCGGCAACATTAATCGATGTTCGAATCCTTTCATATCCAGGTTCCTTCGACAATTCCCGCCACCGTGCCAGCCCAGCACCTTAGGGGAGTGCGCAGATTTTGAATGGAGGGCAAAGGCAAGTCTACGAGCGACGCGCCTGCGTCCGCCGCAGCGTTGACTCAAGCGGCGCGCCCTATGTGTGCATGTGACTGTTCCGAGTACGACGGGGTACCATCGCACCTGAGGAACGGAACACATCGTTCGATGGTATTTTTCTCTCATTCATGCTTTATCCGTCATCTATCTGTTCACACCTACAGTATGGACAGGTCATGGGGTGCTATCACACGCTTACGGCGTAGTATATAGTACGGCTTACCATGTCACTGACGATTTGGTAGTGGAGTTGGCTTCATCTTCATGTGGCTGGCTCTGACCCAAATGCCGGTACTCAACTGCACAATGGCGGAGTATTCTATGGTGATACATCCAATTGCGTTGGTTCCCCGTCGGGGATCAGAGCCAGGAAATTAGCCGACACGTGACATCACGACGACCGACGGACACGTCAGTTTGCACGTGTTTGCCACGGTTCTTAGCCATTATGCCCCCAATTACCAACAAACAATTGGTAATACACAATCCTACCCCCATCTCCTCGAGCGACAACTTACCACAGCGCGACCAGGCGCAACACCACAACGTGAACCTTACACCAAGTTGGAGGCTGACGGCCACGCCCACAACCACATCGACAAACAAGGGTCACCATCTTTGGCATCATGTGGGTATGTTTTGGTTCAGCCGTAGGGCACACGCAAAGAGGAGTGGACGATACTCGCACTAGGCGCCATCACTGGGATCTGGCTTGTAGCGAAATTGTTGGCGAAATTGTGCTCAATGTAATAAGTGGGGTTGTGACCCCACCACAACAAGCCGCTGCTCTGCAGCGCGGCCTCGGAGGCCGAGCCAGGACGCTGTCATCAACTACGGGTTACTACGAGGTCTACGCACCGACGCCGTTACGAACATCATGTTCCTCCTCAGCACCAGATATGAACATCTCGCGGACGAGCGACAGCCGACATCAGGAACAGCCATCATCGACTTTAGAATCGATCGTAGTGAACGCATAGATTCGGTACTAGCCCGAGTCGACATAGCCAGATTGGAAGCGCATTCGGCTGGATTCAACATCCATAATTTCCAGATGTTCACGCTCCTGCTGTTTTGAGCCCTGGGAGTAGTTATCTTCTCACAGTTGTGACAAGCCCTCAATCACCAGATGCCCCGAAACCAACAACAATACGAGTGCTGGATCGAATGCGCAGCTCAGGACACTTAGCTGAGCGCGCTCCTGGAAACATTGGCGACGTCTTCTATCGTTGAGGATATTGCGCCAGTACGTCCCATGCGGACGTGAGCAACGCGCTGACGGCCACGCCGGGCAAGATCTGGGCCGATCAGGAGCCAAACGAATCCACAACGTTCCTCGGCCAGGGAATTTGCAACGCACTAACAGCTGGCCCAAAAAATACCTGCTGGGGCCAACGGCGGGCTGCCCATCAGCTGCGACCACCTTAGGATGCATCATAAAAGTATCCCAATTCACATTTGACTTAGGAGCCGACGCGGACACCGTCTGATCGATGGACCGACAGGTGTTGCTGCGATCGATTGGTCAGATTTGTCCGTTGGCGACGATCAAGCAGCAAAGTACCTATACATAGGCTATCATCATGCTAAACTCCGCTGGAGGCGACAGATGAAACAAAAGAACTGTCAGGAGGTTTGGACGGGCAGCACGACGTGCATTCCATCGAGAGGGTAAACACCGCGGCAAGGGTGGTAGGCGTATGCGCAGGTTGCACGGACGGGGAATGGCCACATTCCGCCTCCTCTTTCTCCTCCCCCTCCTTTTCTTCCTCCTCCTCTTCAACCTCCTCCTACGCCCCGTGAGCACACGCTGCTGCGAAAACAACTCCTTCTCGGCCTCCTTTTTCTGAGCCTCCTCCTTCTCGTCCGCATCCCCCGAACGCCCCCGCACCACGCGACGGCGACACCGAGACCGCCATTTCCGGAGGGGTTCGAACACCACCTGAGGCGTCGGAGGGGGAGGAGGGGAGGTGGGTGGAGCGTCGGGGCCATTCAACCGTAGGTACGGTACGTACCGTATACGTAGTACTTATCAGTAGCGTTGTACACGCTGCACGCTAGTTCGTGATACTCTCCGGCTTAAGGCAGGCTGGTCTCGCCATGATTATTCGGACTCGTCGCTCGCCAGATCGTAGTACTCGGCGTTCCACCTGTCTTCGTTTGAATAGTGTTTCTGCTGCTCGCTAATTCCCTCGTGCTTCACGTTTCGTCGTCGCACTCGTCTTCCTTCTGGCGTCGTAGCAAGTCTTCGGAGGGGACAGGCATGGGTCGCTGGCCCGTGCGCATCGGATTCTGGTGCGCCTCGCAGTGGTCGCGGGTGGACAAGAGCGCTGATGGCTCTTGAGGGGCCCAGCGCGCGGACCATCGCGTCCCCGTTCTCGTAGTGGCGGCCAACGCTCATGTCCATGGGCATCATCGTGCCGTGGGGCTTGTTCTTCGCGGGATTCGTGAGTTCGCATGTGGCTTTGCTGGCGAAGGTTTCTGTGATTGTTTTCCCCTCGGCGGTCACGGTCCTGAGGAAGTTCAGCCCCTCCAGCGCGGCGTACATGATGAAGATGGGCTCGTTCTGCTCGTCGCTCTCGTCCTCTTCTCATGGCCGTCGTAGCTCAGCCGTTTGCTCTCGGAGTCCTGATCGCGGCCCTCGTAGCTCGGCTTGTTGCCCCCATAGTTCGATTGGTGGTCCTCGTAGCTGTGTCGGGGGCTCTAGAGGCTCAGCTCGTGGACCTTCTAGTTTAGATGGTAGCGCTCGCAGCTTTGCTGGAGGCCCTTGTGTTTCAGCTCGTGTCCCGCATAACTCAGCTCGTGGCCTTTGTAGCCTAGCTGGTGGCCCTCGTAGTCCAGCTGGCCTCGCAGCCCTGCTTCTGGCCCTCGTAATTCGGCTTGCCGACCTCGAAGCTCAGCTTGTGCCCCACGCAGCCCTGCAGGTGGCTCTGGAAGCTCGGCTGGTGGAGCTGGTATCCCCGCTGGTGGTTCCCGTAGCTCTGCTTGTGGCCTAAATGGCTCAGCAAGTGGTCCTCGTACCTAAGCTGGTGGCTCTCGTGGCTCGGCAGGTGGCTCCGGTGCCTCGACTGGTGGCTGTCGTAATTCTGCGCGCGCGGCCGTCGTAGCTCAGCGCGTGGTTTCCCTAGCTCAGCTGGTGGCTCTCGGAGTCCTGATCGCGGCCCTCGTAGCTCGGCTTGTTGCCCCCGTAGTTCGATTGGTGGTCCTCGTAGCTGTGTCGGGGGCTCTAGAGATCCCGACTTCCTTCGGGAAGACGACAGTGGTCAACAGGATGTTGCAGCCCCTTTTCAGCTTTGTGTGCCAAGGCCGGATGGAGTCGCGGAAGCATCCGCGACCACCAGTGCTGGTCCAAGTTGTGTTGCAGCCTCAGCGCGCTCCGAGGCGGCAGCTTCGAGAATGGAAGGGGTCGAGGTTGGGGTGGAGTCGGGGTCGGGATCGGACTGAGTCTTCCCTGTCCGAGGCCTCGGGGTTTCCATCGGCCTGGCAGGGTGCCCGTCTGCACCTCACCTTCGTTGCCGTTTCTATTCCTTTTATCAGACAGGGCCATGCCCAGATGTGTTTCAGGTAGCCATGATTACACAGGGCAATGCCCCCAAAAGGTATCTCCTGGAGGAAATGCGGTCTTTTTTCAGCATCTCCTCGGGTGATGTGAGTTTTTACGTTGAGGTCTCTGGACCTGCGCGGCGGGTTCGATCTGGGGTCCCCGAGGCCGTCCTTTTTACTGCTGCGTGTGTGTCCACGGCCGTGGGGCGCTGGAGGTTATTCTCCCCCTGCGGTGACAGCTGCGAAGGGGGGCCGCTCAGTCTCCAATGCGTCGCGGTCGCTGGACTCGCGCGGCGGGTTCGGTCTGGGGTCCCCGAGGCCGTCCTTTTCACTGCTGAGTGCTGTCTACCTCCCCCTGCTTGCACGGCCGTGGGGCGCTGGAGGTAATTCCCCCCGCGGTGACCGTTGCGCAGGGGGGCCGCCTATCCTACCGAGAACGTCGGGACACGGGGGAGGTCAGCCTCTGTCTTCCCCGACCTGTGCATCCCGTCGCCTCACACCTCTGGGCCCTCTCCTGGTTCTGCGCAGTCTCTGGGTCTACGCAGGCCAGCGAGGGGCTTTCAAGGCATGCAACTGTGGCTCATGTCTCGCGCAGCCGACGGATGCCCTGCTGTTGGCGGCCGAGCCGAGGGTCGATCCGTGGGGGGGGGGGGCATAGTAAGGAGCTCGCGAAGCCCCCTCCCCGAAGCGGCGCTCGCCGAGGCGAGGTCGCCCTATTTTTTGCACCTGCTGCTCGGTGTATTTGAATTACAGCATTTCCCACACGCTGTAAGGAGCCGCCTGCTTGGCTGATGTGGTGAAGCCGTGGAGGTCAAAAACAAACCGCGTAGTTCAGGTGGTAGCGTTCGCAGCTTTGAAGGAGGCCCTTGCTGTTCAGCTCGTGTCTCGCATAACTCAGCTCGTGGCCTTTGTCGCCTAGCTGGTGGCCCTCGTAGTCCAGCTGGCCTCGTAGCCCGGCTTCTGGCCCTCGTAATTCGGCTCGCCGACCTCGAAGCTCAGCTCGTGGCCTTCGCAGCCCTGCAGGTGGCTCTGGAAGCTCGACTGGTGGAGCTGCTATCCCCGCTGGTGGTTCCCGTAGCTCTTGTGGTCTAACTGGTTCAGCAAGTGGTCCTCGTAGTTAGGCTGGTGGCAATCGTAGCTCGACACGTGGCTCCGGTGCCTCAACTGGTGGTTGTCGTAATTCTTCGCGCGGCGGTCGTAGCTCAGCGCGTGGTTTCCCTAGCTCAGCTGGTGGCTCTCGGAGTCCTGATCGCGGCCCTCGTAGCTCGGCTTGTTTTCCCCGTAGTTCGATTGGTGGTCCTCGTAGCTGTGTCGGGGGCTCTCGAGGCTCTGCTCGTGGCACTGGTAGTTCAGCTGGTGGCACTGGTAGATATGCTGGAGGCCCTCGTTGCTCTGCTCGTGTTCCACGTAACGCAGCTTGTGATATCCGTGGCTCCGCCGGTGGCCCTCGTAGTTTTGCTGGTGGCCTTCGTAGCCCAGCTTGCGCACCTCGACGCTTAGCTGGTGCTCGTAGTCCTGCTGATGGCTCTGGCAGCTGAGCTGGTGGTGTTGGTAGCTCAGCGGAGGGCTCTCGTAACTCTGCAGGTGGTCCTCGTAGCACAGGTGGTGGACGTCGTAGCTCAGCATGTGGTCCTCGTAGCTCAGCTGGTGGTTTTCGTGGCTCGGCAGGTAGCCCTGGTAGTCCAGCTGATGGCACTCGCGGCTCTGCGCGCGGCCTTCGTAGCACAGCTTGTGGTCCCCGTAGCTCAGCTGGTGGCTCTTGAAGGTGGCCCACGAGGCTCTGCGCGTTACCTTAGAAGTTCTGAACGTAGATCTTTGTAGCTCTGCTGGTGCCCTTGTAGCTCTGCAGTGGTCCCCTAAGCCTTCCTGTCCTCCTGAGCCTCCTGGGCCTCTTTTGCCTTCTTGGGTCTTCCTGGGTTGTACCAGTGGTCCCCGGCGGCGTGGTTGCACAGGGAGTCGTAGTCGTGGCAGCCTTGGTAGAACTCGTGGTCTTGGTGGTCGTCGTAGCACTGGTTGTCGTATCTGCTCTGGGGACTGGGGACCACGGTGGCTCCGGTATCTGAGAAAGGAAGCACTCAGGTCGCCCCAGCCCAGTACTGATCAGTATTGTCCTTTTTCGCCTGGGGGGCGATCGTAGTTTGGCTCGGCTTGAAGATGGCCACGGTTGGGTTCAGGCCGCCGCTCTTGCTGTCGTATTTGCCGTCGATATTGGTGGCGAGCTTGGTTTCGTATTGGTGATGGTTGTCGTAACTACTTGGGCTGCTTGTTGCGCAGCTTGTCCTCGGGCTGCATGTGACGCATATCGTCGCGCGTGTGATGCGGCTCGTTCCGCTTTGAAATGGCCGCCATCATGAAGGCGGTCGTAGCGATGGTCATGATGTCGTTGAGGTGTGGTTGTAGCCCGTGTCAGACGAGGTAGCCCGCCCCCTTGAGAGCTGCATATGTTCTGGTAGCATCAATTCGCGCTCGTATTTCTCTATGTATGCGTGTATGGTCTGGGCATACTCTCCTGGGTTTTTCCACCGAGGTGGTGGGTAGGTCTCTTAACCTTTAGGTCGTGTTGGAGATGTCTGCCTTGTAATTGAACAACTGGTGGTAGTTGCTCTCGAGCTGGTGGATGATGATGTGGTCGCGGTTGATCACCTTCACGTGGTACTTACGCGCCCCGCCCGCCTCCGATGGCGCGGCGGCGCTTTGAAGTCGGCCCCCCACGGGCGCGCGCGCGGTCGGGCGCGGCGCCCGGCGGCGTTTGCGGCGGGTAGAGTCCCCGCAAACGGTCTTCCTTCTCCGCCTCCTCTTCCTTTCCCGCCTCCGCCGCCGCCTCCACCTCCTCCTCCTCCGCCTCCACCTCCTCCTCCTCCTCCTCCTCCTCCTCCTCCTCCTCCTCCTCCTCCTCCAGGCACGTGTGTTGCGCGGCGCTATTGGAGGTGAGCCTAAACAAGGAGCCGGAGGACGGTCCTTTGCTAATGCTTGCCCGCCCTACTGGGTTTCGTCCCCCCGCCGGAGTTCCGGCATGCGGAGTTTTGTTTCTTATTTGATGAGCAACCGCATTGCCCCCCTTTTGTCGCCGAGCGCGTTCCACTACGCGCAAAGTGCCGACTTGCAAACGTCATAAAAAACCATACGTCTCTGCCTTTGCGTAATGTATCGTGCATTCCTTGCGGCGGATCCAGGCCATTTGCGAGGCAGCGACTTTGCGAGTAGAGGAACGCGCTTGTCTATTTTGGGGCTTTCATTCATCCACTCATCCTCCCTCGCCCCTCCTCGGAGGCACAGCCGCAGCCGCAGGAGACCGGGAGGCCGCGGCCGCTCCCGCTCCGCCTCCAGGGACCGCAAGAGGAGGTCGGCCTCCAGAGGACCGGCGCCGCCGCCTCCGCGCGAAGGAAGGGCCTGCGGCTCGCCATGGGGGAAGCGGGTCCTGAGCGAGACTGGTGGGCTTGTTCTCCACCGCCGCCACCATAAGTAGGAGGGGGAGGGGGCCATCCGCCCCCATCTTCCTTCTCCTCCTCATCCACCTCCTTCCCCCCTCCAGCTTGTGGTGGTGGTGGAAAACAAGCCCGTCAGAGACGGATCTGGAGGTTTGTCGCAGTTTTCGGGTGCTCGGGGCCCTCCACGGGCCCTGGGACTGTCAGAAAACGACTCAGGATGAAGCACTCGTCATGGGGGAAGGTCCCGGGGTCCAGGACCCGTTTCCCTCAGTACCCGTTTCCCCTACGACTCAGGATGAAGAACTCGTCATGGGGGAAGGTCCCGGGGTCCAGAACCCGCTTCCCTCAGGACACGTTTCCCCCATGCTAAGAGCCCAGGTCGGGTGTTGCTAGAAGTGCACCTGGCCCAAGGTGCCCCCCAGGATTTCCGAGGAGGCCCCCACGGCCTCCAGAGCACCCCTCACGAGGCCCAGCTTTTCGCTCTATCTTGGAGCCTCTCGGGCCCCCTGGGCCTCGTGAGGGGTGCTCTGCAGGCCGTGGAGGCCTCCCTGGAGATCCTGGGGGGCACCCTGGGCCAGGGGCTCCCTCCGCAACCCCCGAAACGTCGGCGGCGAGCCCAGGCGAGAATGCAGAGGGGGCAGGCAGGCTCGGAAGGCCTCTGGCCTTCTCTGGAATTTTCTGAGACTTCCCCGAAGACAACGACGACTTCTCAGAAGAGGGGCGTCTGAGAAGCCCCGCCGCCTTCTGAGGAGGCTTGCCCGTTCTCGATTCCCCCCTGGCGCCGCCGAAAGGGTTGCGGGCCGTTTTCGGGCCCCAGGACCGTCAACAACAGATCCGTGGAGAAAACTGCACCAGATGGACTCTTAGAGGGGTCCAGGGATCCGATTTTGAGGGTATGCGGCCTCATCCATCACCGATACATCGGTGATGCATCGGCGATGCGGCGCAATCCTCCGACCCCATCTACTCTGACCCCATCTGAGAGACCTCTAGATACGGCAGGTTCGCGTTGTGCCGACGTAGCGGCGACCCCGCTGCGGGCGTTCAAGGTTGAATTCAGCCAGTGGCCCAGAATCGGCCAATGTGGAAAGATCTGGCGATCGGAACACCGCCGATCGTTCAAGGCTGAGCGATCATCGTGGAGTCAGGAGAAACAATCCGCCGGCCCCCTTGTGGGGCCACCAGGCTGCAGGACGAAGCTGCTGTGCCTTGCGCCAGTTGCAACTTCAAATCTCCAATGTGACAGTCCCGCTTTCTGCTTCCTGTTGCAAATGGTTGAAGTCCGCGCGGGGGGGAGCCTCAGACCGCCCAATCTACCTCGCCCAGATCGCGCACTCTGAATTTTCAGGGGGGCGTGGGGCACGTGAAAATATATGAGATTCGCGCCTCCGAGGCCAGAATCCTTGCAAGCCTCGTCAAAATATCCAGAAATGGATGTTGAAATCCTGGAGCACGATGCTTTAGGGCACTCGTCAGAAAGCGCATTCTTCAATGCTGAGAGGGTGGGGTCGGTTTTTGGACAACTCCGCGTCCGAGTCAACAGGCATCCGTCAGCATTGGAGCAGCGCTGACCCCACAATCACCGAATTCAGAAGTCTTCTTGTTGATTTTGGACGAGGCTTGTAGTAAAATGCGCAATGTTCGCGTCCCCGAGGCCACACGCCCTTGTAAAGTACACAATGCCTGCGTCCCCGAGGCAACACGCCTTCGTGAATTATTACGCAATAGCCGTGTCCCTGAAACCATAAACTTTGGGCAAATAACGTCGTATTCGCATTGCCGAGGCCAAGCGTGCTCCAAGGCGCCCGAAGATGGTACGGCCCAAGATGGCCCAACGAGGCCCCAAAAGCGCTCCAAGAGGCCTCCCGAGGGAGCCCCAAGATGCTAAATTCGCAGAAGGTTGTTTTAAGGATCTTGAAGGA